GCCAACTTTTTAATTCCACTTCATTCTTTGGTGGGCGTTTGCTATACATGCAGCACTTTATACTGTACAAAAGTTACTTGATAACGATCAAGTGTTATCAAAAGGATGTTCATTGTCAACAGAAGACATTGTGAAATCTTTAAAAATATGTCTAGAATCAACATATTTTACGTTTAGGGATAAGTCATACGGTCAAACTAATGGCACAGCGATGGGCTCCTCAGCATCTCTGATTGTATCCAGTCAATATATGAAAGCATTCGAAGGTAGAGCTATAAACAATATTTATTGTCAACCCAAACTTTGGTATATGTAGGTAGATGATACCTTTCTAATTAAGAAAAGAGAGCATGAAAGCCTTTTACAACATTTAAACTCGTTGTCAAACTTGATGAACTACACGAATGATACCGAATCGAGTGCAGGAACTTTGGGTTTCCTAGACTGTCTTATTCGAAGAACATCTGATATTTATCAGAATGAGTAGGTTTTCTGTAAATTCTAATTTTAAATTCCGCTTCAAGTATTGTCCACTTTATACTGGCTTCCTATATTCAACACCTGTCGCTCAGCATCATATCTATATAAGCCTCTAATTAGTTTGGACCTAGCCTTGTCAACTAGTTTACTAGTTACTAGCCGGTTCTAAGCCCAGATAAAGGAGGATGGTTGGGCATAGGGCTACCAACCCTACCCCGGAAAACAAATCCAATCGCTAAACAAACTGCAAGGCACAAAAAATATAAATAAACAAAAAAAAACTTATTTCCTGCTGGAATCGGAGAGACTAAGAGACGCCGGTTGGTGAAAGCCTTCAGGAAGCCAGTTAGCCGGTGCATCTTCTCTCCCGATGAAAGAAAACGTAAGGATGCAGATATGGAATGTCTGCACAATGTTTGAACTTAGCAAGGTTGCAGAAACTGCAAAAGAGATGAGAAGATATGGCATATAAGTGCTTGCAACCTGCGAGAGCATATGGAATGGAAGTGGACTCTCCAAACTGTCAACTGGAGAGGAGTAAGTAGTCTACTCCGATATTGTCACACAGACGACAACCACGAGCACAGCACACTGAGTTATGGAGTGGCTATCATGATATCCCCAACAGCATCGAAGGCGCTTTCTCTCTCTCTCTCTCTCTCTCATGCAGTGGAAACCAATCTCCTCCTCAATCAGCATCATGACAGCAAGATTCAACTGGAGAGAAAGGAAAGTCACAATCATAGAATGCTACACTATGCTATGCACCTACGAACAATGCAGATGAAGAGAAGAGGGAGGAATTCTACATACAACTGGAATCAGTACTGGAAAAGACCCCACTCCAGATAGCAACATGAAAATTCTAATGGGTGGGGTGGCATGAATGCCAAACTGGGAGCAGATAACACAGGAAGAGAACTGATCATGGGTCGAGAAGCGGTGGGTGAAATGAACGAGAATGGAGAGTTGTTTGCAGAATTCTGTGCATTCACCAATTTGTTGATTGGAGTCAGGCAGTGTGTTCATGCACAAGGATATCCAATCCACAAAGTGAGTGACATGGATTTGATTTCACCAGACACCAGGACACACTACAAATCAGATCGACTTCATCTCAATGTGAAGAAAGTGAAGACGTAGCCTACTGGACACAAGATCAGAAGAAGAAGAAGAAGAAGGGGAGCAGATGTAGGTTCACACCACTCACCATCTAGTGCAATGAACCTTCAAAATCAAGTTGAAAGCCTTCGTAGAAGAAGCTGGTGATAGACTGTACTTCAAGTTCAATACAGAGAACAGAAACTGAAGGACGAATCTACAAAGGATAACTTCCCGTCAGTCAGTCAGTCAGTCAGCCATTCAGTCAGTCATTGAGTCATCAGGACAAGATGGGGGATATCGAGAAACATGTCTGAAGAAAGCTGTGTGGATGAACACTGGAACTATTTGAAAGAGATTTGGAAATAGACCTCCATAATGTGTTAGGGAGGAAGAAGGAGAAATACATTACAAGGAGTGGATCTCGATGGACACATAGGCGCTGATAAATGGGGGCGACTCACAATGGAGAGCTCAGTGATGCCTTTGAAGTGAAGACGGGTGATAGGAGTAGGACAATTTTGCCGCCTACTATCACTCAAGATCTTCCTGATTGCGGTCGGCTGGACTGGAGTGAAGTGGGTCATGCAACAGACAACTGTGAGTAGCGAGAAGACGAGCATACGCTGACTGCACCGATGAAAAGACCCCAGGGGAAGATTTGGATTCCGCAGCCAAAGACGATTTATGTCCAATATCTTGTCACACAAACTCAAAGATCTACAGGTGAAAACTAACAAGTTGACAGAAGAGGTTGGGCAGGTCAGCGAAAATGGGACTTCCTTCAGGTGAACGTAGACAACGAAGACAGAGGTGATGAAGATACCCAACTACCACAACCACCACCACCACCACCACCGTCACCATCACCATCACCCACAACAACAAGCATCAAACACCGTCAAAGGGAGAAATCTACTCGAAGTTGTCTGTTTCACCTACCTTGGTGAGGCAGCATCGTCTCAGCTATAGGCGGCGACACGGATGAGGATACTGAAGCCAGGATCGGAAAGACAACAAGACACGCCTTCCTTCACCAATGTGAAATCAGTATGGAAATCTACTGCACTGAACTGCATTGCAATGCACTGCACTCAGCATAAAGCGTGAACAAGATCCGGATTTTCAACACTAAGTCAGTCAGTTAAGTCAGTGCTTCTATGTGGTGGTTGAGAGACTTGGCGTTTAACGGAAAGCATTTCCAACAGACTACAGACATACATGACATCAACAGCTGCCACCTACTCTCACTCGGTACTGACACTGAAGATCAGATGGCCAAAACAATGAGAATAGGCGACAAGGAACTCTGGTCTGCCAACGAAATAACCAACCAAG